AGGAGGAGGAGGAGTCAGGAGGAGGAGTCAGGAGTCGGAGGAGGAGGAGGTGGAGGGTGAGGAGCAGAATGAGAGGAGGAGGAGGAGGAGGAGGAGGAGGAGGAGGAGGAGGAGGAGGAGGAGGAGGAGGAGGAGGAGGAGGAGGAGGAGTATGAGTAGGAGTAGGAGGATGAGGAGGGAGGAGGAGGAGGAGGAGGAGGAGAGGAGGAAGAGAGTAGGAGGAGGAGGGGGTAAGAGAAGAAGGGGGCGAGGAGGAGGAGGAGGAGGAGGAGGGGAGGGGAGGAGGGGAGGAGGAGGAGGAGGAGAGGAGGAGGAGGAGGGAGTGAGGAGAGGAGGAGGAGGAGGAGAGGAGGGAGAGGCGGAGGAGGAGCAGGGGCATATGCTCTCAGAGGGGGGGCGCTGGGGGAAGCCGGATGGCTGTATCGAAGAAGAGAATCGCCACAAAACATACAGTGGATGCGCTCCGCGCGTATTTTTCGGACTCGGCCGCTGGCTAGGCCCCCCCCCCCTAGCGGCGCCGTCGGCGCCGCTCCTAGCGCGCTCCGCGCGCCAGGGAAGGGGGCCCAGCGCAGATCCAAACAATTCGCGCGGAGCGCCTAAAGTTCACGTTTATGCAGTTTTTTCTTTTCTACTTGAAGCCCCGAGGCCCGAAGCGACCCGGCGAGAAGACCTGATGAGCCAGCGCCGGCACTGCTTCCGCAGGGAAGTGTGGCATTCCTCCGAGTATTTGCTGCGGGGTCCGAGGCGAGGTAATTCCAGCTGCATCCGCAACCTGTTCAACACGGAACACTGCATCTTCCCTTTTGTCTTCGGAAGGGCCATCAGGAGCCAAGGGTACGACAGCATCGGCCTTCGGGATGCCATCGACCTGCGGGGGGAAGGCTTCTTAGAAGGAGGCCGCTTCTTAGAAGGCGCCGGCCTTCACATCTATAGACAAGGCGCCTTCTAAGAATCGACCTCCTAAGAAGCCTACCCTCCTCCCCCTACCCCCCTCTGCGCGCCGCCAAGTCGGGAATCGACGCTCCAGGAGGGAGGGAAGAAGGGGAGGGAGGGAGGAGGAGTTGGAGGGCAATGTCTACCTGCTTGCAGAAGGCCAGAAACTGCGGCCTGTGCCAAATACCAGTCTCAAGTCTGTATATCTCTATACGTATATCGACGTGTTCGGGGTGGATGCGTCTATAGACAACGCGGCCGTTGCGTTCGACGCAGTGCAAGTAGGGCGGCGGCAGAGTTGGGCTTTTGCACTGCCTTGCAGCTGCTCGTCCACGAAATTCGGCCGTGGTTTTAACCCTGACGCCATGAATGGCCGTCGCACCGCGTTGGCAGAATAACCAGTTCGCGGCAGAGCTTCAGGAGGGGAAAAAACACAGACACAATTCATCATCGAACCCCCAGGAAAACATGGGAAAATTTGGGAATGGGGGGGGGGAAGATGAACATCCAGAAAATATAGGAAAATATTGGGAATCCTGGGCTTCGTGTGTATCTATTTCTGTGTCCTTGGGCCCCTTGGGAGAGCGGGAGGCGCGCCCGTCCGCCCGTTTCCTTGCCCTGCCCGCCCCTGCTGGGGCAACGGGGGCAATCCACTCCACGTGGTTGCAGTCATCGGCTTGACCTCAGGAGCGATCAGCAAGGAACGACGCCTTTTTTCCTGTAAGGAAGAGCGCATAAGGAACGAAACATAATACAGCACGCATCACGAACGGTAAATATCGCATGCAGGCCGAATGAACGACCGAGCCCCTTTTAAAAGGAATGGTTCTTTATTCAAGCCGCTCACTGTATCGCCCCACCAGGAAGCATCGAGCCTTCGAGCCCTGCAAATGTGCTCCATCCCCCTGTGGCCCCCACGGACCCACGGAAGCTCGGTGGCATCTTCTCAGAGATCGTCGGCACTTGTGCAGACTCAGAGGCACGCCCAACGGAGGTGCCAGCGTGGCACCCAGCCAACAACGCCCAAACCAATGCAGCTTGGACATCAGCCTGGCAACAGCTGCCCCACGAGAGTCTCTTCCCTCACGGGGGCCCGCAGAGCCTCGGGGCGAAAGCGCAGGAGTCGACGAAGCACGCACCCTCAGATGTCTGGCTGCCAGATCTCTAAACGCAAGTAAGTACCAGAGGCAAGCACACTGCAGTCGGCGTCACCCCAACATACTAATACGACGTGTGAGTCGCCCCCCCCCCCCCCCAGTGGCGACGCGCGCACCGAGAAATCTTGTAGTATACGCGTCGTGGCGGGCGCCTTCTGGCCACACCGCTCGGGAAAATATGCACCACAAGATGGGTGTGTACTATATATGCTCGGGCCGGGCGCGCGCCTCCAAGGAGGACGTGGTATCAGTATGTCTCCGTGCGTCCCGTGCACCGCCCGCACCAAGCCCAACACACAAACGCCGCAGCCAGGACGTGGTATCAGTATGTCTCCGTGCGTCCCTTGCACCGTCCGCACCAAGCCCAACACACAAACGCCGCAGCCAGGGCGTGGTATCAGTATGTCTCCGTGCGTCCCGTGCACCCCCCGCACCAAGCCCAACACACACACAAACGCCGCAGCCAGGGCGTGGTATCAGTATGTCTCCGTGCGTCCCGTGCACCGCCCGCGCCAAGCCCAACACACAAACGCCGCAGCCAGGGCAGCATCGAGATCAGCCTCCGCGGCCGCGGCCTCTCGGACGGCGGCGCGGCCGACTGGTGCCTGCGCGCGGGGCCGCGCCTGGGGGCGCTGGCGGCGGAGGCCAACGGCGGCCTGAGCGCCTCGGTGGGCCCCGTGTGATCGCGCGGTCAAGGCCTCCCAGGCCTCCCAGGCCTCCCAGGCCTCCTCCTCCTCCTCCTCCTCCTCCTCCTCTTCATCCTCCTGCTCCTCGTTCTCCTCTTCCTCCTCCTCCTCCTCCTCCTCCTCCTCCTCTCCTCCTCCTCCTCCTCCTCCTCCTGCTCCTGCTCCTCCTCCTCCTCCTCCTCCTCCTCCTCCTCTTCCTCCTCCTCCTCCTCCTCGAGGGGGCCTCCAGTGCGTTGCCCGCAGGGTCCCGGCCTCCCGGGGTGGGGTCCGAGCTGGCGGGGCCGGAGGCTCGTGCCGCATCGCCGAGGCATCGGCGATGCGGCTCGATGCGTAGCCCGATGTTGTCCACGCCGGCGGCGCCGATGCATCGGCGATGCGGTGCGGTGCTCCGACCCCATCTGCTCGGACCCCGCTTGTGGAGGCCTCCACAGGGGTGCGAAGCTGACTGCGCTTCTCCGGGGCGGAGCTCGCAGGGGAGGGCTCCGGAGGCGCCGCCAGGGGGGCTCCAGTGCCGAGCTGAAACATCCTGGCGGAGCGCAGGACGGTAATGTGCATGCTGATTGTTTTCCTCCTCCTCCTCCTCCTCTTCGTCTTCCTCTTCCTCTTCCTCCTCCTCCTCCTCCTCATCCTTCTCCTCCTCCTCCTCCTCCTCCTCCTCCTCCTCTTCCTCCTCCTCCTCTTTTTCGATCGGTCGCCCGCGTGGGCGCGAAGCGAATCGCGCTTCGTGCGTCGGGGTCCGGGCTGGAGAGCTGCCCTTCGGGCAGATGGGGCGGCGCGAGGACCAGCGAGGATCGGGGACGTGCAGGCTTCTATTTTTCTCGGGGGCGGAAAAGAGGGGGGTGATGACTAGGGGGGGTGAATATCATGGCGGGGGCCATGATATCTCCCCAGATCTCAAGGTGCCTCTTCTTATTTTATTACGTTCCCGGCCCCCCCCCGCTGGGCCGCGCACATGCCGCCGGCCATGATTTGCACCCCCCCCTCTTGGACACCCCCCTCTTGGCCGCTCCCGAGATCTTTCTGGTTCCTTCTGTGCTGTTGGACCGTCGCTTTGAACCCGCGGCGCACCGCGTCACTCCTTCCTGTCTCTTTCTCCCGCTCCTCCCCCTCCCTTCCTTGCCTCTGGAGGAGGAAGAGGAAGAGGAGGAAAACGAGGAGGAGGAGGAGCAGGAGGAGAGGGGGCAGGGACGCAAGGTGCAAAAGTGTCAGCGGTTCGGTTGGTTCGGCGGCGTAAGGGGAGAATCGGGAGGAGGGGTAGAGGGGAAGGAGAGAGGGGATGGGGAGGGGAGGGGAAAGAGAGAGGGGAAGGAGAGAGGAGGAGGCAGGGGGGGGGAAGGAGATTTGAGGAGAGAGGGGAAGAGGGGGAGAGGGGAAGGAGAGAGGAGGAGGGAGGGAGCATCCTGGAGGTTTTTCCTGCTTCGGGATGCTTTCAAGCAGCTGAGCCTCGCGGAGGACGGTCTGGGGGTGTTCCCGACTGCTCCACGAGCGGCTGCTGGAGACCGGGCTTGTGACCCGAGAGCTAGACGACAGGGATCGGGCGGTGCGGCTGCGCAGGAGGATGAGGAGGCTGAACATGAGACTGATGATGACGATGCTGCTGCTGCTGCTGATGATGATGATGATGACGATGTTGACGACGATGCTGACGATGATGATGATGCTGATGCTAATGATGATGATGAGGAGGAGGAGGATTGTGGTGGTGATGATGATGACTATGATGGAGATGATGATGATGATGACGATGATGATGATGATGATGATGATGATGATGATGATGATGATGATGATGATGATGATGATGATGATGATGATGGGGATGATGATGCTGACGAAACTGGTGATGATGGTGATGCTGATGGTGATGATGATGATGGTGATGACGATGATGATTATGCTGATGCTAGCGGTGATGCTGCTGATGATGATGAAGACGATGACGATGACGATGACAATGATGGCGATGATGGTGATGATGCTGATGATGATGAGGATTGTGATTATGATGCTGATGACGATGATGATGCTGATCATGATGAGGAGGAGAAGAAGGCGGAGGAGGCCGAGGGTGATGGGGACGAAACTTATGATGTCGCAGGGGATGCTGATGATGTTGGTGGGGAAATTGCAGTTGGGATGCTGTGGAGTCCAGGGATCTCGAGGTTGCGTTCCAGGACGGTGGTGTTGTTGCTGCTCATGATAGTGTTGATGCTGATGTTGATGATTATCGTTATGATGCTGTGGAGGAGGAAGAGGCTGACGATGATGATGCTGCTGCTGATGATGCTGATGATGGTGATGATGTGGTCGTTGTTGATGATGGTGATGGTGATGGTGATGGTGATGATGATGCTGGTGATGCTGATGATGATGATGATGCTGATGATGACGTCGACGACGGCGACGACGAATGATCATCATGATCATGATGATGTTGCTGCTGATTATGATGCTGATGATGCTGATGCTGATGATGCTGATGATGATGCTGATGATGATGGTGATGATGATGATGATGATGATGATGATGATGCAGGTGATGAGGACGACAATGCATCGGATAATGATGCTGCTGCTGGTGCTGGTGGTGGTGGTGGTGATGATGATGACTATGATGCTGATTATGATGCTGCTGCTGCTGATGATGATGATGATCATGATGATGATGATCACGGTTAGAGCAAACTCGTATACACAATCTGCCGACCGAGCGCAGGGCGGCTTAGGACATGTCCGCTGGTGTTAACACAAAATGATTGTTTTTGGTATGACGTTTGCACCCAGCAGCGCTATGCTATAGTAATTCACGTTGCTTCCAGCAGGTCTGTCCATTATGCGGGGCGCTCCAGAAATTGCCTCGCCTTCGAGGGATTGGGAAGTTGACATCTCTTTCCTTGCGGAAGCCAGCGGCAAGCTGGCGGACGCAAAACCAGGGCGGATCCGCCAGCGGAAGCCATTTGTGGTCACAGTCGCCCCCCCCAACAATTGTCACAATGGGTTTGGTTTGCTCGGAGATCGTACTAATACGCCTATCTGGCCCTACCAGTACGCCGCGTGATCGTACTAGTTACTAGTACGCCTGCGTAGCCGCGCTCATACGATAGACCTTGCACGCCGCTGTCGTATTAGTACGCCTGCATCGCCCTCCTTAGTTGCCCTTCGAGATCGTACTAGCACGCGTACTTCGCCATACTACTACGCCGCGTGGTCGTACCACTACGCTCATGTGGTCGCACTCGTAAGATAGATCTTGGGCGCCCCCCGTCGTATTAATCCGCCTATACAGCCCGGCTAGTACGCTCAGCGAGATCGCACTAGTACGCCTAGCTCGCCCTACTAGTACGCCACACGGTCGTACTAGTGCACCTCCGTAGCCGTACTCGTTTGACAGACCTTGCGCGCCGCAGTCGTTCTAGCGCGCCCACATCGCCCCCCTTCGCCAGCCGGACTAGTGCGAGACTGTATCGGTACGCTTATTTCGCCCTACTAGTAAGCCGTGAGGTCGTACTGGTACGCCTGCGGCCCTATTATTCACGATCGGCGGAGGGGGCCCCCTGTTGAGACATCCTCACCATTCCGCCCCAGCGGGGGCTGCTAGTGGCGCTGTTTTGGTGTTCTGGTGTGGCCCCAGAAGGGGGCTGGCCAGGGCATGGAATAGGGCTTCTTCGGCCTGCTATATCGTGATCGGCGGACGCCCCCCCCTCAAGACATGCTCACCGTTCTGCCCCGGCGGGCGTATTGCCTGGGTAGGACTGGCCGTGTTAATATGACCCCAGGATGCTGGGGGGGGGGCTGGCCAGGCCGCAACCGGCAGAGAGGGCGCCCGCTTAAGAAACCCTCACAAGTCATCCCTTGGCGGGAGTACTGCCAGGGTCCGAGTAGCCCGTACGAGTACGACCCCAGGATGCTGGGGTTGGGGGGCGGGCTGACCAGGGGCGCACCAGTAGAAGGGGTAAGTCGACCTACCAGTACGAGCGGCGGAGAAGGCGCCCGCTCGCGACATCCTCACGGTTCCGCCCTGGCAGTCGTACTGCTGGGGCCCGGGGTTGGGGGCGCGTGCTGGCAGGGTTAGTTTGGCACAGTGGTACTACTGGCGGGGAGGGCCTCCGCTGGAGCCATCCTCACTATTCCGCGCCTGCGGGGGCTACCAGTGGGGCTGCTTCGGCACACTGGTAAGGCCCCAGGGCCCTGGCCAGGGGGCTACTTAGAGGCCTGCTCGTGCGACCGGCGGAGAGAGTCCCCGCTCGAGACATTCTCCGAGCTCCGCCTCGGCGGGGGCTGCTAGTAGGGCGTTTTTTGGCCCTGCTTGCCTCCAGGGTGCCCTGGGATTCTTGGGTTTCGATGGCTTCGCCGTGGACAGCGTGACGTTCCAACACCGGACATCCTGGGGTCTTCAGGGTTGGATTTTTTGTGGAAGGTTTTTTGTGGACTGGCCTCTACTGTATCAGTCTTGCCCGGGGATTCTTGGAGGGGCCTGCACGTAGGGCAGAGTCGGCCTGCTGGCACGACCGGCGGAGAGGCTCCCCGCGCAAGACACAGGCGCAGTTCCGCCAGGGTGGGGGGCTCCTTTCGGCCGGGCGGACTAGTAGGGCTGCTTGGGCCTACCAGCACGACCGGCGGAGAGGGCCCCCGCTCGAGCCATGCCCAATGCCGCCGCGGCGGGGGCCACTAGAATGGTGAGTTTCTTTGGCGCCCTCGTGCGGCCCCAGGATGCTGGGCAGGGGGGTGGGCGGACAGAGGGGCTACTTCGGTCTACCTGTGCGACTGGCGGGGAGGGCCCCCGCTGGAGGCATCCTCGCCATTTCGCCGCTGAGGGGGCTAGGGCTATTCTGGCGTACCAGTTACGACCCCAGGATATGGGAAGTGTGAGTGGGTGTGCTAGAATGGTTACTTTGGCTTACTATCATAACCAGCGGAGGCCCCCCCCCCGCTCGAGACATCCTCACAATTCCGCCCCCGCCGGGCTGGCTGGGGGCGCACTGGCAGCCTGCGCTACAGCGCTCATTTTTGAAGCCGCTAATCGTGTCAGCTAAGTGTCGTGTGAGATGCGTGCTGCCGCCACAGAAATATACACACAGACACCCTCCAATGGATTGTTTCTTGGGCCTCAGCGGAGGAGGGCGGTGTATAAATCACCACTGCGAGCCAGCGACTTCATACACCGCCGCCCTTTCCTGAAGGTGCGTGCAACATTCGTCGGAGGGCCTGTTCGCACCAGGGCGCTGGGCTCGGCAAACTCTCGGCGTCACGGGCGCAAAACAAACTCCAAGAGGTGGTCGACCTCTCGGAGAACCGCTTGGGCGGGCAGGGCGTGCACGCGCTGGTGGAGACCATGCTGAGCTTCAAGATCAGCGTGCGGTCGGCGCCACCCCAACATACTGATACTATGCGTGCGTCGCCCCCAAAGGGGCGACGCGCGCGCCGCGAGGAATCTTCTAATATATGCTCTGTTGCGGGCGCTTTCCGGCCGCACCGCTCGGGAAGCGATACTACAAGATGGGTGTACTATATGTTCGGGTCGGACGCGCGCCTCCGAGGAGGACACGTCGTGCTAGTATATGTCCTTCTGCGTCCCATGAGGGTGCTCAAGCTGCACAAGAACCACATCACCCCCGACGCCGCGACCGTGCTGGCGAGGTCACTCAGATCTGGGCCCCCCAAGGTGGGGTCCGAGCAGAAGGGGCCGGAGGATCGCGCCGCATCGCGGATACATCGGCGATGTGGCTCGGTGTGGAGCTCGATCTTCTCCACGCTGACGCCGCCGATGCCTCGCCGATGCATCAGCGATGTGGCGCGATCCTCCGACCCCATCTTTTCGGACCCCACCTAGGAGGACTTCATGTTTGGTGGGTTCGTGCCGTGTCGGCGCGGCAGCGACCTCGCCGCTCGCGTTCACGGTTAGATCGGCCAAGGGGAGACGAGCTGGCGAGCGGGGAGTCGCCGATCCTTCGAGGTTGAACGGCCAGCGCGGTGTCAGAAGCCAACGCCTGGGTCGTGACGGCACGCACCCGCAGCGCTCTTGCCGCCCGCTGCCCCTCATCTGCTTCCGCCTCCTGTCTGAGCCTCCTGCGAGTTCCTTGTCGCCACTGTTGGATTCGCCTCGCTGCCGCTTGTGTTTTAGTTGTTGCTGCTGCTGCTGCTGTTGTTGTTGTTGTTGTTGCTGATGTTGTTGAATGTCATTTTTGAAGAATAATTATTGTTGATCCCCCCTCACCGGTGCATACTGTTTTCTCTCAATCAAAGTGTGCCCCTCGACGCTCGTACCCTGTTTTTTGACAGGGAAAGTCCTGGTGCTCAAACTGAGCCCCTGGCCCCAGGATTACAACAACAACGGCTCCCGTCTGAGACTTCTTCCAAATTTACTCAGGACCCCCGCTCCTGAGACTTCCTCACAATTTACTCAGGATCGGTGCTCCCGCCTGTGACTTCCTCGCAATTTTGTTAGGACCCCCGCTCCCATCTGAGGCTTCCTCACACTTTACTCAGGAACGGCGCTCCCGCTTGAGACTTCCTTCCTCGCAATTGAATCAAGACTTCCTCGCCTTTTTTGCCAAGACCCCCGCGCCCGCCAGAGAACCCTTCACATGTTATTCAGGAATTGCGCTCTCGCCTGTTACTTCCATGCAATGTGTCCAGAAATCGCGCTTTCGACGCTCAGGGAACACGCTGCGCCATGGACGCCGTTTCAATTTACTTCGTAATCGCGCTCTCGCCATACTCAGGCATCCCGCTTGAATGTCCCACCCGCCCGACCCGCCCGTCAGGGGATCGCCCGCCCGTGGAGGGCTCCCGCCCGAGACTTCCTTCAGGAACGGCGCTTTCGCCTAGGACTTCCTCGAACGTTCACGCTCTTACCTTCCTGCTCCTCCTCCCTCTCCCTCCTCCCTCCTCCCTCCTCCCTCCTCCCTCCTCCCTCCTCCCTCCTCCCTCCTCTCCTCCCTTGTCTTTCCTTTTTCTCTTCCCTCATCCTTATGCCCCTCTGCCCTATCCCCTCTCCCTCCTCTCCCTCCTCCATTCTCCCTCCCCTCTCCTGCCTCCTCCCTCCCTCTTTCTTTCTTTTTTCTTTCTCTCTCTCTCTCTCTCTCTTTCCCCTCTCTCTCTCTCTCTCTTGCTCTACCTCTCTTATCTGTTTTTGTTTGTGTTTCTCTCCCTCTCTCCCTGCCTCTAATCAACCGCCCCCCTCTTTGCTCCTTCTCTCCTGGCATTTTCCCTCTTCCTTCGTGCCTTCCCCTCCCTTCCTCCAACTCGCCCTCGTTCTCCCCCTCCTCTTTTTGCAGGGCCCACACCAATTCCAATGGCGGGCACATGTACGCCCACGAAGGATTGTCCGCCCGTCCAGGTTTGCCCGCCTGTCTAAGCCCATCGCCCCCCGCAAAGAGAAATAACCCCCCCCCAAATGGGGGTGAGATCGTGCGGGGAACTCGTTTTGAATGAAACGCGGGCAAATAAGAACGAACAGTCTTATAATGATTGTTGTTGTTGTTGTTGTTGTTGTTGTTGTTGTTGTTGTTGGTGTTGTTGTTGGTGTTGTTGATGTTGTTGTTGTTGTTGTTGCTGCTATTGTTATTGGTTGTGGTGGTGTTGCTGCTGCTGCTGTTGTTGTTGTGGTTGTTGTTGCTGTTGATGTTGTGGTTTTTCTTCTTGACTCTCATATGTGAATATCCATTATCGTTGATCGCCCCCGCCCGTTGCACATTTTCCTTTTTTCGATGGAAGTGCTCTTCCCAGGGCTCGCACCCTGTTTTTGGCAGAGAAAGTCTAGAGGGTCAAACTGTGTCGTTGGCCCCCTTATTTGCAACAACAGCGGCTCCCGCCTGATACTTCCTCACACTTTGATGAAGAATCGCGCTCTCGCTTTGGGTCCCCGGACAATTGACAACCGAATCGCGGCTCCCGCCTGATACTTCTCGACATTTGTTTGCAGAATCGCGTTCTCGCTTGGGACTTCCTCGCAAATTACCACCGAACCGCTTCGCCCGATATTTCTTCACAACTTGCTCAGATGCCAGCCGTCGACACTCAAAAATCGCGCTCCCGCTACATATTGCCAGGCGGTTCAAGCAGGACTCACGCTTCAACGACCCGCCCGCTCGACCCGCCCGTCGGGGCCTCCCCGCCCGACAAGCCCGTAAATGACTGCAGCCGCTGCTCGCTGCCTTTCGCCCGCCTTTGATGCCCCTCGCTGCCCGCAGTGGTTCCGCGGTCGCCTTCGCTCGCTGCCCTTCGTGGCCCCGTTGCTGCCCTCAGTTGCCCCGTCGCTGCCCTTTTGTGGCCCCGCATTCTATGCCCTTCGTGGCCCCCGCTCGCACGCGCCCGTCGTGGCCCCATACGCATGCCCTTCGTAGCCCCGCTGTGGCCCTTCGTGGCCCCCTCGCTGCCCTTCGTGGCCCCTTTGCTGCCCTCAGTGGCCCCGCTGTCGCCCTTGTGTGGCTCCGTACACGAATGCTTTTCGTGGCCCCCGTTCGCTCGCGCCCGTCGTGGCCCCATATGCATGCCCTGCGTGGCCCCGCTGTCGCCCTTTTTGGCCCCCTCGCCCACACTGGCTTTTCTCGTGATTTACTTTGGAATCGCGCTATCGCTCGAGACCTCCTGGCGATTCATGCAGGACCCACGCTTAGCAACCCGCCTGCTCGACCTCGTCGCCTGGTCCAGCCTTCCCGACCTGCCCGCGAAGGGTCTGCCCACCCGATCTGCCCGTCTGGTTCTACCACTTGTTTTCTGTTCCTTGCCCCCTCTCGTGCTAATTTCTCTCGTGCTCCATTATTTTCCCTCCCCCTTCCACCCGTCCTCTCTTCCCTTGTTTTAGGGGCTGCGCTAAATACACGTGGCAGGTAATGAAGATACACCCCCAAGGGGTACGATCGAAGACGACGAGGGCGGGTACCGAGGGTTTGGGATATACCCATTGTTAGGTACGTGAGCAGTTAGAAGCGAACAGTCTCAACCTGATTCGTGTTGTTGTTGTTGCTGTTGTTGTTGTGGTTGTTGGTGTTGTTGTTGTTGTTGTGGTGTTGTTGTTGTTGTTGTTGTTGGTGGTGGTGGTGGTGGTGGTGGTGGTGCGCTCTCGCGTGGGACTTCCTCAACATGTATTCAGAAACCGCGCCCTCGACGCTCCCTTCCCCTTGTCCCTTCCTTCCATTCATCCTCTACTCCCTTATTTTAGGGGCTGCACGAAATACACGTTGCAGGTAAGACATACATTTGCCGCCAAGCGGGTACGATCGAAGCCGAAGAGGGCGGGTATCGAGGTTTTCGGATGCACGTGTAAAATGGCACGCAAGCAGATAACAGCGAACAGCCTTCACATGATTGTTGTTACTGTTGCTGTAGGTGTTGTAGTAGTTGTTGTGGCTGTTGTTGATGCTGTCGTTGTTGGTGTTGCTGTTGTTGTGGCTGTCGTTGGTGTTGTCGTTGTTGTTGTGTTTGTTGTGTTTGCAGTTGTTGTGTTTGTTGTGGTGGTTGCTGTTGTTGTCGTTGTTGTTGTCGTTGTTGGCGTTGGTGCTGCTGCTTTTGTTGTTGTAGTCGTTGTCGCTGTAGTCGTTGTTGTTGTTTGCTGTCTGTTGGTTGTTGTCTGTTGTTTGTTGTTTGTTGTGTGTTGTTTGTTGTTGTTGTTGCTGCTGCTGTTGTTGTTGATGTTGTTGTTGAACATTATTACTTCTAAAGAATAATTATTGTTGGGGCCCCTGGTGCACGGCCCCCCCGCCGCGCCTAGGCCGCAGCCACATTCTCATCATTTTCGAGCGAAAGCCCTTGACAAAACGATGTGATCCAGATCCGGTTGTTTTGTTCCCCCCCGCTTTCCCTTGCAAAAAACAATATAACATGACATTTCTTGTTCTAACATAACCAAGCTTCAGGAATCCATTGGAAAAAATGACACAAAGTGCACATTCGCGCGCGCAAGACGAAATCCTTCCAAAACCTTAGTTTTCGTAGCGATTTTAACATAAAAACATCAAAAACCAATGGTTTTTCAAAAACAAGTTGTCAAAATTCATCCCGCGCGCTCTTGCGGATTCGTAGGAAACCCAACACTTTTTAACATTTCTGTCAAACGGGCTTTTGCGAGCAACTTTTTCGAACTTCTGCAACAACGGTTGCGCACCTGCCAGGGCCATCATCCCTGTCAAATAATACCATGCGGGACACATTCGTTTTTTCTTCGCGCGCGCACGCCGTCGTCGTCGGCCGCGGGGCCCTGAATAGTAGCCACGGTCGTCCGCATGCCACGAAGTGAAGTGTCCGAACGTCATAGGGCGGGAAGCTGGGTGTGGGTGGTGGCGAAGAGTCGTTTGGAAATTTGGTAGAGCTTGAACCGGCCCCCCCACAAAGTGGGGGTATTGCCCGCCTCCTATGAAAACCCTGGCACTGGTGAGAACGGAGTGTCCCCAGTGCTAGTAATTGTTGTTGTTGTTGTTGTTGTTGTTGTTGTTGTTGTTGTTGTTGTTGTTTGTTGTTGTTGTTGAACATTATTAATTCTAAAGAATAATTATTGTTGGGACCCCTGGTGCACGGCCCCCCTGCGCCGCCTAGGCCGCAGCTACATTTTCATCATTTTCGTGAGGAAGCCTCAGGTAAACGATGTGATCAAGATCCGGTTGTTTTGTTGTAATCCGCTTTCCCTTGCAAAAAAAAAAACACTATAAAATGACATTTCTTGTTCTAATATAATCAAATTTCAAGAATCCCTTGCAAAAAATAAGGTAAAGTGGACATTCGCGCGCGCAAGACGAAATCCTTCCAAAAGCTTAGTGTTCGGAGCGATTTTTAACATAAAAACATCAAAAAAACCAATGGTTTTTCAACAAAAAAATGTCAAAATCTCATCCCGCGCGCTCTTGCGGATTCGTAGGAAACCCAACACTTTTTAAACATTTCTGTCAAACGGGCTTTTGCGAGCAACTTTTTCGAACTTCTGCGACAACGGTTGCGCACCTGCCAGGGCCATCATCCCTGTCAAATAATACCATGCGGGACACATTCGTTTTTTCTTCGCGCGCGCACGCCGTCGTCGTCGGCCGCGGGGCCCTGAATAGTAGCCACGGTCGTCCGCATGCCACGAAGTGAAGTGTCCGAACGTCATAGGGCGGGAAGCTGGGTGTGGGTGGTGGCGAAGAGTCGTTTGGAAATTTGGTAGAGCTTGAACCGGCCCCCCCACAAAGTGGGGGTATTGCCCGCCTCCTATGAAAACCCTGGCACTGGTGAGAACGGAGTGTCCCCACGTGCTAGTAATTGTTGTTGTTGTTGTTGTTGTTGTTGTTGTTGTTGTTGTTGTTGTTGAACATTATTACTTCTAAAGAATAATTATTGTTGGGGCCCCTGGTGCGCGACCCCCCTCCAAAACCTAGGCCGCAGCTACATTTTCATCATTTTTTAGCGAAAGCTTCAGAAAAGTGAATTATTACCGGATCCGGTTGTTTTGTTGTACTCCGTTTTCCCTTGCAAAAAACACTATAAAATGAAAATTCTTGTTCTTACTTGATCAAATTGCAAGAATCCCTTGCAAAAAATAAGGTAAAGTGGACATTCGTGCGCGCAAGACGAAATCCTTCCAAAACCTTAGGTTTCGTAAGCGATTTTAACATAAAAACATCAAAAACCCAATGGTTTTTTAAGAAAAAAATGTCAAAATGTTCTTCCGCGCGCTCTTGCGGATTCGTAGGAAAACCAACACTTTTTAAACAATTCTGTCAAACGGGCTTTTGCGAGCAACTTTTTCGAACTTCTGCGACAACGTTTGCGCACCTGCCAGGGCCATCATCCCTGTCAAATAATACCATGCGGGACATATTCGTTTTTTCTTCGCGCGCGCACGCCGAAATCTCCAAAAATCATTGGGTTTTTAAGAATTTTAGCACCGCGCATCATAAAATCACACGAATCGCACCGTAGGTCCTCGAAAAACACCTGCACGACTTTTCAAAATTTCCACCCGCGCGCGCTGTCCGTTCTCAAAAAACCAATGGTTTTCCAACATTTATGTTACATGAGCTCGCGCGAGCTACTTTCGCATCTTTGCAACGGGGTTCGCGCGCCTGCCATCGGGACAACCATCGGGACAACCATTTGGACCAGCATCGGGAAAACGATCGGGACAACCATAACCATCAGGACAACCATCGGGGCAACCATCGAGACAACCATCGGGACAACGATACCTTCTCTCTTGTGTCCTCCCACATCCCTCAGGAAGTTGCCCTAAAGATGTGACCGACTCCTCTCTCTCTCCTTCTCTATGTCTCTCGCTCTTTCTCTGCTTCATATCTATCATATGAACACATCTATCTCGCTCTTTGTCTGCTTCATCGCCTTCCCAGGAAATTGCCCCAAAAATGTGACCAACTATCTTGGCAGTGCGTACCATCTCACGTGTACCGTGTACCACATCTTCTCAGGTTGCCTCACACATGTGACGAATCTCTTTCTATCTCTCTCTCCTCTGGCTCTCTGTCTTGCTCTCTCTCTCTCTCTCTGTCTCTCTGTCTTGCTCTCTCTCTCTCTCTGTGTTGCTCTCTCTATGTCATGCGCAACGAATGCACGATGCGGGGCACATGCGGGGCCCAAACAAGTGATCAACCTCTGCGGGTGTGTACTCCACGCCAGTGTAGTATCCACGATCGTCCGCGCGCCACGAAGTGAAGTGTCCTGACGTCATAGGGCGGGAAGCTGGGTGTGGGTGGTTCCCGAGAGTCGTGTGGATGTTTGGTAGAGCTTGCATTGCCCCCCCACGAAGTGGGGGTATTGGCTGGCGTCGCATGAAAACCCTGGCACTGGAGAGAACACTGAGCGTTCGGGTAAAATGATTGTTGTTGTTGTTGTTGTTGTTGTTGTTGTTGTTGTCGTTATTGTGTGCGTGGGCTTTCCACAGTGTATGTTTTGTATGTGATTTCTGCATCAACTTACACGTGCGGAGGTCCGCGCGGACTTGTCGGAGTGGTGCTGAACCCCCCCCCCTGGGGGCGCGCGTGGACTCTGACAGTTTTCGCCCGTGCCGCGTTGCAGCGGGAACCCATGCCAAGAGGCACCCTGCTTGCCTCCAGGGTGCCCTGGGCTTCGCCGCAAGTCCAAGGACGCCCTTGGGTCTCAGGCCTGGGCTTCTCGTGGGAGGTTCCTTGTGGTGGAGCTCCTGCTGAATGCCCTCTTTGCCAGAGCCAGATCGGCGTCACCCCAACATACTTGTACTATATGTGCGTCGCCCCCTCAGGGGCGACGCGCGCACCGAGAAATCTTACAGTATATGCGTCGTGGCGGGCGCTTTCTGGCCACACCGCTCGGGAAACGATGTACTACAAGGTGGGTATACTTTATGTTCGGGTCGGACGCGCGCCTCCAAGTAGGACATCTAGTATTAGTATGTCCTTGTGGGTCCCACCAGATCCCCCCCCCCCGACGCCGCGACCGCGCCGGCGAGGTTCAGGGGCCATCTTTGGCCAAGGGGGGGGGTCGCCGCTGGCCGATCCGTCGCCGCCGATCTATACTGTGGGGCCCGACGGCCCACCTCGCCCACGGGAACCCGCGTTGTCTCGCATGCGGGGGCCCATCGCCGAGCTGTTTGCAAGGTATGGCCGATCCCGGGTCGATGCTTCTCGAAGAAAAAGCCATCAACGTAGAACATAAACAGCGGAAGACAAACGAATCAAACAATACAAATAATGATGATAATAAGAGGGATCATAACATGAACAATAATACTACGAACAGCAACGATACGAATACTACTGATAAGAGGAACGAGTGAATAAAGAAGAAGCAGACACGCAATCCATGTAAACTTTTGGCGCCCCGCGCGGATTTCTTGGACCAGTGCCACAAGTTTATGTTTATGGCGTTTTTCCTTCTTCTAACTCCTCCATGGCCCAGTGCCCCATGTCCGCTGTCCCTCAGTGGGCGGCGGGCCGGGGTGGGGGGGTGGGGGAAGTGAGAGGGCCTGCTCGGGCGGGTGGTAACTGGGGGAGACCCGCATTGGGGGTGACGAAAATAAGCCGAAAGGGGTTCAGCTGGTGCCCAAAAGGAGCCTTCAAGGGCCCTTTTAGGGTTGTTTTCTTTCCCCCCCATTCAGGCCACCCCCCATTACCGCCCTCACGAGCAGGCCTTCTCAGAAGGCGGCGGGGCTTTTCAGAAGCCGTCCCGCCTTTGGGGAGTTTTCTGCGTCTCCGGAGAGGGCCCAGAAGGTCTCTCAGGAGGCCAGAGGCCTTCCGAGCCTTCTGCGAAGGCCCGCCCCCTCTGACTTCCCCCCGGGGCGTGCCGCCAATGAGAGGCATTTCCTGCGCTGCCCGCGGGTACCTGCTAAGTACCTGTCCTGCGCTGCCCGCAGGCACCTCCCAAGTACCTCTCCTGCGCTGCCCGCAGGCACCTCCAAGTACATACCTTTCCTGGGCTGCCCGGAGGTACATCCGCGACAACCCGAACCCGATCGAGGAGCTCTAGGCCTCCTAGATGGGGTCCGAGTAGATGGGGTCGGAGGATCGCGCCGCATCGCCGATGCATCGACGATGCGGCTCGATGCGAAGCCTGATTTTCCCCACGCCGACGTCGCGGATGCGTCGCCGACGTTGCCGATGCATCGCCGATGCATCGCGGATACATCGGCGATGCATCGGCGATGCGGCCCGATCCGTCGATCCCATCTATTCGGACCCCACCCAGGAGGCCTCTAGGAGCTCCACCTGTCTCACAACCGGCTCGACCGCGGGGCGGCGCTGGCGCTCGTGGGAGCGATGGCGGGCGCGGGCCGCGGCGGCCGGGCCACCTACCCTCCGCAGGCCCAGGGTGGGCGCCAGGTGTGCACCACGCCGATCCTTCTCCCCCCATCTCCTCCTCCCCCTCTCCCCTTCTCCTCCCCCTCCTTCTCCTCCTCCTCCTCCTCCTCCTCCTCCTCCTCCTCCTCCTCCACCTCCTGCTCCTCCTCCACCTCCTCCTCCTCGTCGTCATCCTCCTCCTCCTTCCTCCCTCCTCCTCCTCCTCCTCCTCCTCCTCCTCCTCCTCCTCCTCCTCCTCCTCCTCCTCCTCCTCCTCCTCCTCCTCCTCCTCCCCCTCCTCCTCCTCCTCCTCCTCCTCCTCTCCTCCTCCTCCTCCTCCTCCTCCTACCTCCACTCTACCTCACACCTCCTCCTCCTCCTCCTGCTCCTCCGCCTCCCCCTCTCCTCCCCCACCTCCACCTCCACCCTCCACCTCCTTCTCCTCTCTCCTCCTCCTCCTCCTCCTCCTCCTCCTCTTCCTCCGTCCTCCTCCTCCTCCTCCTCCTCCTCCTTCCTCCTCCTCTCCTCTCCTTCTCGTCCTTCTGCTCCTCCTCCTCCTCCTCCACCTCCACCTCCACCTCCACCTCCTCCTACCCCTCCTTCCTCCTCTCCTCCTCCTCCTCCTCCTTCCTCCTCCTCTCCTCCTCTCGCCTCCTCCTCCTCCTTCTCCTCCTCCTCCCCCTCCTCCTCCTCCTCTTCCTCCGCCCCTCCTCCTCCTCGTCCTCCTCCTCCTCCTCCTCCTCCTTCTCGTCCTTCTGCTCCTCCTCCTCCTCCCTCCACCTTCTGTTCTTTCTCCTCCTTCTCCTCCTCCTCCTGCTCCTCCTTCTCCTCCTCCTTCTCCTGCTCCTCCTCTTCCCCCTCCTTCTTCCCCGCCTCGTCGTCGTCGTCGTCCTCCTCCTCCTCGCCGTCCACCTCGCCGTCCTCCTCCTAACCTCAAGCGTTTCCCTCCTCCGCTTCTTCCCTCTTACGTGCCCCATCCTTGTCCCTCGATTTTTGGAACGAGCCACATGGTCGGCACAGGAAAACGGGTCGGCTGCGCCGACATCCGCGCGCAAGCTGCCCGCGCAGGTCCGCTCGTGAGCGTGGGCGCCCTCTTCTCCACGCGATGTGCCACGCTGTCGGCACGCGTAAGCCACCGCGTAAGAGCCCTGTGCCATCTCGGGCAATGCCTGGTCTCCTCTCGTCGCTCACATGCCATGATTCTCCCTTCTCCGGAACGAGACACGTCCCTCGGATCCGGGCGCTGCATTTTTTCCACACCGGGCGTCTGCGCCCGGCTTCGGGCCCCAGGGCCCTCACAGATCGGCCTGGATCGAAAAGTGCAGCAGACAGAGGCGGCTGAGGGCTCCGGTCGTGGTCTGCCTCGATGCTGCACCTATCTCGCAGCCTCGGATCTGAGGGGTGCACGCGCTGATCCTGGGTAGAGGACGGGTCTGGCAAGGGCCAGCGTGGTGCGGGTGACGCTCCCCAGAGGAGGAGGAGGAGGAGGAGGAGGAGGAGGAGGAGGAGGAGGAGGAGGAGGAGGAGGAGGAGGAGGAGGAGAAGGAGAAGATGGAGGAGGACGAGGACGAGGACGATGAGGAGGAGGAGGAGGAGGAGGAGGAGGAGGAGGGAGGTGGAGGTGGAGGAGAGGAGGAGGAGGAGGAGGAGGGAGGAGGAGGAGGAGGAGCAGGAGGAGGAGGGAGGAGAAGGAGGAGGAGGAGGACGTGGCCGAGGAGGAGGAGGAGGAGGAGGAGGAGGAGGATGAGGATGAGGAGGAGGAGGAGGAGGAGGAGGAGGAGGAGGAGGAGGAGGAGGAGGAGGAGGAGGGAGGAGGAGGAGGAGGAGGAGGAGGAGGAGGGAGGAGGAGGAGGAGGACGAGGAGGAGGAGGAGGAGGTGGAGGAGGAGGAGGAGGAGGAGGAGAAGGAGGAGGAGGACGAGGCCGAGGACGAGGAGGTGGATGGGGAGGAGGAGGAGGAGGAGGAGGAGGAGGAGAGGAGGAGGAGGAGCAGGAGGAGGAAGGAGGAGGAGGAGGAGGAGGAGGAGGAGGTGGCGCTCCCCAGAGGCCTCCCGCCGCGGGGGCCAGTTCAGGCCCGCGTGGCTCCGCCTCGAGCCAGAAGAGCCAAGAGACGGCACGGCCAGGAGCTTCTCGAGGAGTTCCGCGCGGACGTCTCTGGCCCGTCTCCCCTGGTGTTATGATGTTCCAACCTGCTTTAGCCTTGATCACAAGGAAGAAGTTCGAGCACCAAGAAAGTATCGCAACAGGATTTTTTTCACGTGTCGGGCCCTGGGAGGCGATGAACTTTCTACACTTCGCAAGCGTGTGGGGCAGACACTGTTTCGATACTGCTCTGGGTGCTCGAATTTTTGATCGGGTGTGGTCCTTAAGTACGATGGGAGCAACACAACCCTGGTGCCATGGTTGTTTTGGAGGCAAGGTGCTGAAGTAAGGGCCGCTTTGGGTTCGGAAGAGGCTCGCTGTCCCCTGGGTCATTCCGCGGTTGTGACTATGGCCCTCCTCGTGCACCCAGGGCGCTGTTGGCGCCCAGAAGGGGCTTCGTCACGTCTTTGGCGTTCCAGGTTTCTGCAGCCTTTCTGTACGGGGTCCCCCGAAGGGAGTCCCGGCCAGTTCCCCAGGGCCAGTCGTTGATCCCGAGTCGCTTTTGGACCGTCCTGGGCCTGGTGAGTGCCCTCGGAGGTCGAAATCGGTCGAGAGTTTCCGAGCGTTTTATGTTTACTTTTCCTTTGTCGAAGAAGAAACTACATAAACATAAGCTTTGGGCGCGCCACGCGGATTTCTTGGATCCGCGCTGGGCCCCCCCGGCGGCGCCTGCAGCGCCGCCCCTGGCGCGCTGCGCGCTCCGATCCAAGGAGTCCGCGCGGAGCGCCAAAAGCTTCTCTTCCCTTCTTGTTCTACTTCTGCTGAGATCCTTTGGCTCAGCGATCTGGCCCCTGAGCGTCTCCGTGGCGACGGGGGATGCGAGGATTGCTGAACTGACGGGGTTCGGTGTGCTGGGACACGGAGGCTCTGTCAGCTCAGTAGTCCTTGCCTCCCCAGTCGCCATGGAGACGCTCAGTGGCCAGATCGCCGAGTTGCAGGATCCCAGGGTGCGCAGAAGGGAGGTCCGGGGCGTCTGGGCACCCCTGCACCGAGCACGTCACGGCCTCCGGTCTCCTGGGAAGGCGGGCCCAGTGCCGACCGAAGAGGCCCGAGTCCCGATGTCTTGACCAGAACTGAACCGTCGAGACAAATCACGACCGTACAGTCAGTGAGCCCGGTAAGGACGCGCGCCTTCATCTAGGGCACCCTCGTTTCCTTGCCTCTGCGGCCCGTCCTTTGCCGTTTCCACTGGTCGCCCGCCGCCCAACAACGCTCAACTTCCACCTCCAGGGGTCCTGCGTCCTTGCCACTTGTCTTTCGGGCAGTCATCAGACATCTGAAGAAAACGTGCCTACTTTCGTAGTCTTCAGATTTCGCTTAAGAAAATCAAGAATCTGGACTGGACCCAGGACGTTTTCTTGGTATAACGTTCGTATATGTGCACCTGGACCACGGCTTAAGAACACGCTTGGAGTGAAGACCAGTTCCTGAACGTAGAATTCTCTTAACTTTGAGCTGGGGTGTGGACGCTTTGACTGTAGCCCTAGATCCCCATCTCTCTGCGCCGTTTCTCGCGCCGCATCGATCTGTGGAGGCCCCTGGGCCCGAGCAAAACTGGGCGGAGCCGCCCGGCTCGAAGAGGAGTGGAGTCGCCGGGCTAGCTCTTAGGGCAGGCCTCGGAGGCCCGCTCCGAGAAGCGGCGGCTCGTGCCGTGGCTTGCGGCTCTTCTGCGAGCACAACGGCGTCGGCCCTGATCTGCTCGCCAGCTCCTCGCAGGATTGGGAGCAGGAAGCGCACCACCACCACCACCACCGCCACCACCACCACCACCACCGCCACCGCCACCGCCACCGCCACCGCCACCGCCACCGCCACCGCCACCACCACCACCACCACCACCACCACCACCACCGCCACCACCACCACCACCACCACCACCACCACCACCACCACCACCACCACCACCACCACCACCACCACCACCACCACCACCACCACCACCACCACCCTGGGGGATTCAGGAGGAATTGCTGTGCGGGATGCGGGTGTGCACGACGTCCCGCGAGAGCGCCTGAAGCGATTTATACCAACCACCACCACCACCCCAGGCCCCCGGCGTCGTGATTTTAGCACAACTTCGACGCAACGTCGACCCCCGAGAGGTCTGGACCCCTTCCCTGGGTCTGGTTTTTCATCCTGAATCGTTTTCTGGCGGTCCTGGGGCCTGGTAAGGGCCCCCAGAGGCCGAACATAGCGAAAACAAAAACACCTCCCGCCGTGATTTTCTCACAGCAAGAGGGGGTCTGGGCCTGACCACCCTCCGCCTCCATCCTCCACGTGGTGGTGGTGGTGGTGGTGGTGGTGCTGGTGGTGGTGGTGGTGGTGGCGCGCTTCCGCCAAAAAACAAATCCGGGTGAAAAACCAGGTCCCGGGGAAGGTGTCCAGACCTCTGGGGGTCGACGTTGTGGACAACTCGCGACGTCAGGGGCCTGGGGTGGTGGTGGTGGTGGTGGTGGTGGTGGTGGTGGTGGGTGCATGTCGCGTCGCGCGCTCTCGCGGGACGTCGTGCACACCCGCATCCCGCACGGCGGCTCCTCCTGCACCCCCCAGGGTGGGTGGTGGGTGGTTCAGGAGGGGAAAAACACACAGACACAATCATTCGTCGATTCCCAGAAAATATACGAAAATATGGGAAGTGGGGGGGAAGACAGAAACCCAGAAAATAGGGGAAAATAGGGGGAATCTTTTATTTGTGCGTATTTATCTGTGTGTCCCAGTTCCCCTTCAGTGGTGGCGGTGGTGCGCTGCCTGCCCCCCCGCCAGGAGGGCTTCGCGCGCCTGCGCCGGGAGCGGGGCTTCCCCGCGCGGCCCGACGTGCCGGTGCTGTGCGCCGCCTCCTCCCGGGGCGGCCAGTGCCGGGCGGGCTGCTGTCAGTTCCAGCGGGAGCACTTCGGGCCGGTGGCCGGGGGGGATGCCGAAGATCAGGAGAGGAAAAAAAACACACAGACACAATTCATCCCCGATCCCCAAGAAAATATGGGAGAGTATGGGAAGTGGGGGGGGGGAGACAGAAGTCCAAGTAATATGCCAAAATATGGGGGGCATCCTTTTATTTGTGGGTATCTCTTTGTGTGTCCCAGGGCCCCTTTAAAAGAGAGCTGGGCGGCGAGCTGCACATGGGAGGGGGGGCGAGGTGCCCGGACCTCTGCCCCTTCCCTCGGTAACTCAGGGGCCAGCAGCGTACATGTGTACGCGTACGCGGTTAGCTTCCCCTGGAGTGCGTGTCAACGCGGACGTTCGTGCAGGCAAGACCGCGGAGGGCGTGCATGTACGTATGTCGTTGCTCGCCCATTCACTCCCCTTTTCGGGCCTCACTTGGGGGGTCCTCGTCGCCGCCGCCGCCGGATTCGCCTCGAAGTTTCTGGTCCGAGCGCGCCCCGGGAGGAGGCCGGGGATTACCAGCCTGGAACATATCCCTATCCCTATGCTGGGCACCTCCTCATCACGATGCCAATCTTAGGGATTCCCTTATTTTTCGAGGGCGAATCCCTGAGATTGTCATCGGCTTTTGGCGTGTCAATCTTAGGGATAGGGATACGTTCGAGGCTGGTAAGGGGAGCAGAGGCTCAGAGGTGTCGGTGCCTGTGGGTTTCCCCAGGGGTGCCAGCAGCTGGGCGGCGAGCTCGGGGCCCTGCCCTCGCCGATGGACGATTCGGGCAGCTCGATGGGCGGCGGGGCTCGGGGTCGGAGTTCGTCGAACACGTGGCGAAGTCCGAATCGTATCCCCTGAAGTCGGGCGTGTCCCTCTCAAGGGGGAATGTCCAAAGATAGTCAAAAAATAGTCTGGGGTTGATTTTTTTACTATATGTGACTGTTGTTGGATATTTTTGAATATGTTTTGTTTTTCGTCCAGAATCCGCCTGTAGGGGGACACGCCCGACTTAACCCTACCCTAGCCGATCGACGATTCGGGCAGCTCGTTGGGCGGCGGGGCTCGGGGTCGGAGTTCGTCGAACATGTGGCGAAGTCCGAACCCTATCCTCGCCTCCCATGGATTCAGGAGAACCGATGGTTGGTGGGGGTCGGGTCCCAGAGATCCAACTTATTGAAAAAATCACGACGGAGGTTTTCCGCAGTTATCGGCATCTAGAGGCCCTTACTGGGCCTCGGGACCGTCAAAAAACTACTCAGGATGAAAAACCGGTCCTGGTGAATGGGTCGAGTTTTCCGGGGACCCCGCATTGAAAAAATCACGTCATCGGATCTCTGGGGTTCGGATACCGCCACCTAGCAGTCCCTCCGATCCAGGCGCTGCAGCTCTTTCACACCGGGTGCTTTCGCCTGGTGTCGGGCCCCGGGGCTTCGAAAAGTGGCGCAGAAATATACAGGATCCCTGGCTTGGGCTGTGATCTTTTGCGACGTCTCGCTCTTTTCGCGACGCTGGATCTCAGGGAGCAGAGCGCCCTGATGCGGGATCAGAGGCGGGTTTTGCCAGTGTTCTGGTCGGCCGAGTCCCTTCAGGTGATGCCCAGGATCGAGGCCTCCTAGATGGGGTCGGAATAGATGGGGTCGGGGGATCGCGCCGCATCGCCTATGCATCCGCGATGCGGCGCGATGTGTGGCGCCGACTTTCTTCACGCCGATGGCGCCGGTGCATCGCCAGCGTCGCGGATGCATCGCCAATGCATCGGCGATGCATCGCCGATGTGTCGGCGATGCGGCGATGCGGCGATCCTCGGACTCCATCTAGGAGGCCTCTACAGGAGCCCAGAGCAGTGGCATGACTCATTGTGGCCTTGAGGCGGCAGTTCCACGGCTGATTGGTCGGGTCAGTGTTCGGGCTGCTTCGGGTGGCACTCGAGCAGCTCCCTCGGATCCCAGGGCCCCAGGGCTGACCTGATTGGTCTTTTGCCTACATGAGCCCTGATGTCTTCGCATCGTGAAGAATCACGACAGAAGGTGTCTGTCAATTTTCGGCCTGTGGGGTCCCTTACCAAACACCAGGGCCGTCGAAAAACGGCTCAGGATGGGAAGCCGAAAGACAATGACGTCGGACACCTTGGAAGGGGAGGGGTCCTGCAGGATTTTTGTTTTCGGGCTCATCCCTTGTCCAGTGACCGATGTGAACCTTCATCATGTTCCGACGACCGCTTGACAACCAGATGCGACTCCTGACAACCAGGAACCACTTGAAAACCGATACCTTCAGATTCGGAAGGGGCACTTCACAAGAATAACGCCCGCTTTTTCTAACCGAGAAGGGCTCTCCGTGCTACAGAGACAGCCCTCTTTACAGCCAGACCGACCAGCTTACAACCAGATCAACACTTCACTTGACGCCCTCCAGAGGCTCTGAGCGCAATCCAGTTTTGACGCCCTCCAGACGACCTTGGATGATCTCCAGAGGCCCTTGAGCGATCTCCCTCGTCTCTCGACCCACGCACTCCTCGGCACTCCCCACCATTCCCCGACAATCCGCTGCACGCCACTCCTCCGATGCGATCGCCGCACGTCGTTCCTCCGAGGCGATCCTGGCTCAGGCTGAAATCAGCACGGGGCAAGCGGCGGAGTCCCAGGCCCCCGTCGATCCGAGTCTCAATGAAGATGCACATGTAGAGGGTGGAAATATTGGTGGTCCTCGCCTTCTCCTGAAGCCTTCTGCTCCGCAGCCAATTTGTCTCAAGCGATTCTCGCTGAAGCTGAAATCAGCTCGGGGCCAGTGGCGTTGTCCAGGCCCCGTCAGTGGAGTCCTTGTTAGAGGGGCGCTGAAGGGTGGCGGTATCGGTTTCTGTTCTCCTCTGGCGATTGCTTTTCCGCGGGAGCTGCTTCTGGGGCGCCCGAGATGTTGCGAGGCCCCCCCAGGAGGTCTCGACCCCTTCCGTGGGGATGGTTGTTCGTCCTGGATCGTCTTCTTTATAAGTCCCGGGGCCCGCCAACGGACTCCGGAGGCCAGGATTAAGGAACAACGATGAAGTCCAATCAGTCATATCGTCGGAGACCTGGGTTCTGGAACGCCCTAGATTCGGCATGCCCGACATGTGTACGGAAGGCACTTGGTACGATGACCGGGAGCACATGTTGCCCAATACCGACAGCGGCCGCTGTTGGGCGGGCGACATTGTGTCTCAAATGGACACCGTCCGCGGCCACGCCGATTGCGAGTCTGTTCATGATGGACAGGAGCTGCTGTTGCTCTTCGTCCCCATTCTTTCCTGACCCGTTTCGGTCCTACCGCCGGATGTGCATTTGCCTGTCCTGGCAGAGTTCTTCTCCTAAGCTTCTCCTCCCAGGAGTGCTCTGGAGGCCATCTGGGCCTCGTCGGGAATCCAGGGGACATTGGGGAGCCGGGGGCAACGATAGAGAGGATACCTGGATCACCGTGGGGGGAGCTAAGGTGGATAGGAAGGTTCGGAGTGGATGCTCAAGCGGGCTATGTGCAGCCCAACCTGGCTTATTTTTTGGGGTTAAAGTGTTTCAGGGTTGTACGATCACTCTGCTAAGTGGGCCCTCCCACTTGGTCCAGATCTGTACCCCCTAAGCCACCGAGGGCAATTCTAACCCGCTTTTAAACCAGATTTGGCCAGACTCGAGCCACTTTAGCATCCACTTCTAACCTCCCTCCCCCGTGGTGATCCAAGTAGGCTCAGGGACCAGAGCATCGACCCCAAAACGCCCACTCGTCTTTCCGTACCCATGCGGGTCTTACCGACAGGTGAGCCACTCCAAAAAGCGGTCGTTTTCGCCGACGCTAGCGCGTGAGCTGGCGGTTTGCGCAAGCCACCGCGTAAGGTCGCGCAACCGTCTCGCTTAAGACCCGCCTATGGGCGGCCGCGGGCCGCGCCGCCGCCGCGCGGCCGGGGGCTCCTAGGGGGGCGTTAGCTGGCCACGTCACCGATGCTGGAGCCATCTGAGAAACGAAGATGGGGGGCAACGATACCGGGGGTGACTGGCATAGGGGGGGATGCATCGACCTGGAATCGGCGATATATCGCCGATACATCGGCGATCGGCCTCCTGGTCGCCAAACTGGTCCTCCTCCGCCTCCTCCTGCTCCTCCTCAGTTTTTTCTCCTCCCTCAACTCCTTCTCCTTCTCCTCCTCCTCCTTTTCCTCCTCTTCCTCTTCCTGCTCCTCATCAGTTCTCCTGTTTCTCTTAATTTTTCCTCCTCCTCCTCCTCCTCCTCCTCCTCCTCCTCCTCCTCCTCCTCCTCTTGCTCCTCTTGCTCCTCGGCTCCTCCTCCGAGGTGGTGCACCTGCCCTTCCTGGCGCCGCCCCGGGGCACCGGCGGCAGCCCGCCGCCCCGCGAGCGGCCCGCCAGCCCGCGGCGCGCCCCCGGCGCAGGGCAGCGGGGCCCTCGCGGGGCAGCGGCGGCGCCGGACGGGGCTGCGGGGCCGCGGGAGCCGTGCCGCCCCACGACGACGACGACGACGACGACGACGACGACGACGACGACGACGACGGACGACGACGACGGACGGACGACGACGACGACGACGACGACGACGACGATGACGACGGACGACGACGACGACGACGACGACTACGACGACGACGACGACGACGACGACGACGACGACGACGACGACGGACGACGACGACGACGACGACGACGACGACGGACGACGACGACGTCGGCGGCGGCGGCGGCGACGACGACGACGACGACGACGACGCGGACGGCGCGCCGTGGCCTGTCGCCCTTCTTGGCCAGCGCCACCTCCTCCCCAGTGCGCAACCTAAACGGTGTTTTGGCGATTTCGTGGGCCATTTTCGTTTTGGCGTCGTTGTGGAGTGGAGGCGGAGCCAAGGCAACACGAGGGAAAGCGAAGACAACACGAACACGAAAAGCACTTTTTCGATGGATGTCTGCTCCTACCCCTCTCTTCTCCTATCACCCATGTCGCATCATGCCCCATGCGATCTTCGCTCAGTGCTGCTTGGCCCTCCCACTTCGTGGGCGGAA